AAATTGAATTTGAAGAAATAATGGCCCCAATTTTTCAGATTTGATGAAAAATATACACCTCCAGATCCAAGAACCTAATGAGCCCCAAGCAGGATAGATTTAAAGAAAATCATAGCAAGGCACATTATAATCAAATTGCTCCAAATTCTTTTTTATAATTATTTCTGAATATTATGGGGGTACAAATGTTTAGGTTATGTATGTTGCCCTTGCTCTCTTCCTCCCCCGCCAGTTAGAGCTTCAAGCATGTCCATCCTCCAGATGGTGTGAATCACACTCATTGTGTATGTATATACCCATCCCCTCCCCCCCCCCATCCGCCCCATGCCCAATAAATATTACTCCTATATGTGCACTTAGGTGTTGATCAGTGAAACCAATTTGCTGGTGAGTACATGTGGTGCTTATTTTTCTGTTCTCAGGATACTTCACTTAGTAGAACAGGTTCCAGGTCTATCCAGGAAAATATAAGAGATGCTATATCACCATTGTTTCTTATAGCTGAATAGTACTCTATGGTATACATATACCACATTTTATTGATCCACTCATGTATGGATGGGCACTTGGGTTGTTTCCACATCTTTGCAATTGTGATTTGTGCCGCTATAAACATTCGAGTGCAGATGTCTTTTTTTAATAGAATGTCTTTTGTTCTTTTGGGTAGATGCCCAGTAATGGGATTGCTGGATCAATTCTTAATAAAGATTGAGTCTTAAAAGCATCTAGAAACAAACAGCTCTTGTGTATAGAAAAATGAAGTTAAGAATAATAGCAGACTTGCCATCAGAAACTACACAAAATGAAACCTTTAAGTGTTGAAATAAAAACACTGTAAGCCTAGAATTCTATAACAAGAGAAAATATAGTTCAAATATGAAGGCAAAATGAAGATTTTTTTTCAGTTAAAAAAAGAGAAAATTCATTGCCAGCAGAACTGCACCATCAGAAGTATTAAGAAACCTCTTTGGATAAAAAGAAAAATACCTCAGAAGAAATGATAACAACTTGATGGAAACTTGAAAGAATAAAGAACACTGGAAATAGTAAACATGCAGGTAAGTATAAAAGAGATTTGTTCATATATTTTAATTTTTAAAAAGACAATTCACTATGTAAAGCAAAAACTAATAACAGCATCTTGTATGATTTATAATGTATATAGAAATAAAATATGTGACTGCAATTACACAGTGAGAGGTGGGAAATGGAAGTACACTGTTGTAAAGTCTATACATCATGTACAAAGTGTATAATATTAGTTAAAACATAGTCTTATACATTTTGAAATGCATTTTATAAACCATAGAGCAAAAAGAAGAACAAAGAGGCATAGTTAATAAGCTAGTAATGAAAATACAATTAATACAAAAATATACTCATTTTATCAACAAGAAGGCAGAAAAAGAAGAAATAATAAACAAAAAAACATATGAGACAAGTAAAAATAAATAGCAGGATGGTGGATTTAATCCTAGTCGTACTGATAATTCCATTAACTATAAATGATTCAAATACTCAAATAAAAGGCAGAGATCATCAGATTGGATAAATAAGCAACAACCAACAATATGCTGTGTATCATAAGCTTATTTTAAATAAATGAAGAAAGAAGTATAAAAAATAAAAGCATGGGAAGCAATAAAGTATGCAAACATCAAGATAATAAGAAAATCAAATAGCTAAATTAATATAACATTGGACCTCATAGCAAGGAATTTTAACAGGGATTAAGAGAGATATTTCATAGTGATGAAGAGATAAGTTTATTTAAAAGACATAACAATCCTAAATGTCTATACACAGTGGTGTGCTGATCAATGTGTAACAACTGACTCACTCAGAATAAAAAGCTCTGATTTGAAGTATTTTCAGGTGTAAATACTTCCATCATGGCCAATTTTAAACTACAACATGGCTTCTCTGAATACAGAGTTGAGAAAAGATTTGCATAATTATTTCCTGTGAGTAGGGAAATACTGAAACCACTATATACATTTCATAACAGTTTCAAAACAGCTATGAAGCAAAATCTAACGGAAACAAAGCCATACCTGTTAGAGAAATAGATTACATCACAGTCATATTTGGAGTTTTCATTACCCTCTCAACAATTGAAAAAACAAATAGAAAATCAGTGAGGATATAGAACACTTAAACAACACTGTCAACCAACTTGACCTATTGACATTTATAGAACATTCCATCCCAAAACAGCAGAAAATACATTATTCTCAAATGCACAGAAACATTCACAAAGGTAGACCATAAGTGGTCATAAAACAAGTCTCAATAAATAAGGGGCGGGGGAGACTCAGGCAGGGGGATTGCTTGAGCCCAGGAGTTTGAGGTTGCAGTGAGCTATGATGATGCCACTGCACTCTACCCAGGGTGACAGAGTGAGACTCTGTCCCGAAAAAAAAAAATCTTATATAGTCTTACTTGTTTGCTCTTTCAGATGAGCATCACAAAAGAAAATTATTAACACCCCTGAATATTCACCAGGAGCAGCAAAATAAGAAAAGGGGTATAATGACAAGTCATAAACTTCAAAATGAGGCTATTGAGAAAGGAAAGAAAAGATTCTGACAGAGCATGGCAAGGCTTCTAATTCCACTGTAACCTCCCACCCACAGAGACTACTGAGGAAGGCAAGGGATTGGACAATTCCTGAGAGTTCTCCTCAACCTGGGGAAAACAGACTCAAGAGGTAAGTAAGCACCCTAAGGAAAAGTCAAGGGAAAAGCTCAACAGAGTACGGGCTAGTGTACCTTGAAATCTCAGTGGAAGATCTCATGGTTTACAGGGCACTATCAGAAATCCATAGGTATTCTACCATAGGAACATGATATGGCCAACAAGATGGATTGATTTGTAGTATGAGACATTTAACATCATTTCAGAAGAGACAGTAAAACCCAGGTTACTCAACAAAGGCTGAACACAATCCAGAAGAGGTCTGCTTCTGTGCTCTCAGTCTCAGAAACCTGAATAGAAAGCACAATTTTAGCTTTCACCCTGTGCCTATAGGTTGGAGATGACACAAACAAATATCAGGATGGGAGTCATGGAAAGTTCATCCACATTGTATCAGAGCAAGCAGAAGGTCTGGAAAGACCTACTCGCATTCAACACAAGCAAGCGAGAATCAGCCTGGTATACTACAGAAAAACAAAAAAAGAAACTAACGCAGAACGCCAAAGAACCAAGAACCCAGTGTAGCAGAAAAAAATAAATATAAAACAAGCAAAAACAAAAAAAACCCTTTCCATGAGTGTTTGTTTTATGGAAAACTGTGATAAGAATATGACTAAAATAAACACTGGGCACGGTGGCTCACGCCTGTAATCCTAGCACTCTGGGAGGCCGAGGCAGGAGGATCCCTCAAGGTCAGGAGTTCGAAACCAGCCTGAGCAAGAGTGAGATCCTATCTTTACTAAAAATAGAAAGAAATTAATTGGTCAACTAAAAAAACACATAGGAAAAATATTAGCCGGGCATGGTGGCACATGCCTGTAGTCCCAGCTACTCAGGAGGCTAAGGCAGAAGGATTGCTTGAGCCCAGGAGTTTGAGGTTGCTGTGAGCTAGGCCGACGCCACAGCACTCTAGCTGGGACAACAGAGTGAGAATCTGTCTCAAAAAAAAAAAAAAAAGAATATAACTAAAATAAAGCATGGGGAAGCTCAAAGATAAAAGGATAAAGTGACAGAATCTGTCAAAACATTAAGTAAGAATGATGAAAGCAGGCATCCTGTTTTGTACCAGTTTTGATGGGGATGCATTTAATTATTTCACTATTGGATGTTATTTAGAATTCATTATTTTTTCTTGAAGATTCCAGAAGTATGTTTTCCTTTATCATGTTAGGGAGAAAGCACTGCATTTTTAACTTATAAATTTTTTAAATAAAGTATTGTTGAACATTGACTTAACCTGTTTTAGCTGGCATAGACAAGCTATTTTGCAAACTCCTTATTTTTCTTGCATCACACTACAAAGAACCTCAGTGTAGTCCTCAGAACTTGTCCACATGAATGATGAGTGAGACATTTCATCATATTTCCTTTTAACAGCCAGACTTTCTGTCATATGGCAAATTCAATGACTCATTCTACAAAGGCAAGTTCTTCCACTACGTGTATTTACAGGATTGCTAACATTAGGGCTACAGGTTGTATAAACATTCTATCACCCAAATATCTTGAAACTATAAAAAAAAAGGCCAATGAAATTGGAGTTTATTCTTTCTATGCATATAGTATTTGGAGTCAGGCAACTGTTATGAATCCTTGTTCTATACTTTGAGCCAGTTAATTGTCTTTTCTCAGCTCCAATTTTCTTATCTAACAATTGGGTCAATGATATTTAATGTACAGGGTGTTGTAAGGATTAAATAACATAATGTATTTCAAGCAGGTACTTCAAAATGATAATTTAAGTTATTATTGCTATTTTTTAAAATTATGATATTCTAGTACGTAACAGACATTCAATAAATATTCACTGAATGATTGAATGATCTTTGTAAAGAGTTCAAAGGTAAAATGGAAAGTCTCTGTCCACAAAGGATTTCTAAGCTGGAAGATTAATTGCTAATAAAATAAATATAAATAAATTTAGGGTTCTAGATCTGATCTTATGGGGGCTTAATGACATGACTCTATTACCCCATTATCAAATATTCTCCCCAGCTAGGCCTCACCCTGGTCTCTGAGCACAGTCACGGAATAATTCTTGACCATGTGTACTTTTTGAATATAAATAAAAGAAATTAACTTAAGCTAACTTAAGTTAAAAGGGGAAATGGCATAAAAATCCAGGAACTGGTGTTTTGTGGGACCCATGGGTAGAGATGCAGCTACATCTCAGGCAGGACTGAAACCAAAGAGTGGAAGCACCAGGATCCCCCCCACCCCCACCCTCTCTCTGACTTTCAATTTCATTTCTCTCAAAGCCTCTTTCTTTCTCACAGCTGTGCCTCTTCTCTCTCTAGACTGCAGGGCAGAAGGTGGCCACCCATGAGCCTTGAATCTGTATCTTTTGCATCTATCCTCGTTTATATTCCTGGAGGAATCTTGGTAGCCCAGTGTTACTACGACAGATCATCATAGACCAGGTAATTTAGAAAGACCAGAAATGTATTGGCTCACAGTTCTTGGAGCTGGGAAATCCAAGATTAAGATGTCAACAACTGATCCTTTCGTAGCTCATAAGCATGATGATTGGGTGTTCACGCGGATGTGTGAGATGTGCCTCCCTCAAACCTTGTTACATCATCGGCACATTACCTGTCCGACGTGAAAAATAAATAAATAAATAAACAAATAAATAAAACAATAAATAAATAAATAAACAAGATGTCGGCAACTGATGAGGACCTTCTTGCTGCATTATCCCATGGCAGAAGGGCAAAGCTCTCATGACCTAAACACCTCTTAGAGGTCCCACCTCTTAATACTGCGACAATAGCAACTAAATTTCGACATGAGTTTTGGAGGGAACAAACATTCAAACCATAGTACTCAGCTTAGATCAAATATCTTTCCTGGCCTGTTCAATGGCCACTAGGAGAAAGAGATCAGATGGGACCACATGGCTGCCTAAAGGGCAGGGCCACGGGTTGGTCCTCTATGAAGGGCGAAACGGCAGAATGTCCAGCAGGTGCCTACCACATCACAGCCACAGGCTGACCCTTACCCCTGTCACAGCCCTAATTCTGACCACCTACTAAACTGCAGATTAAACTTTGCTCCTGGCACAGGAATCCACTTTCACTGATCTTGTGAAGCATACATGACTAATAAATTGAAGAGGCCTCTGCATTTTCATTGTTTCACTTACTTTTGGGAAAAAAAATGTGTTTTTTACATAGTAAATTTTGTTCAAAATTATTTTTATTTGCTGTAAAATACCTGGGTGAAAACTAAAAAGATCAAAGAAAAAAATCTAGTTATTAACATTTTCAAGCATTCTTAAAAATCTGGATATTTCCAGACATCTCTAAGTAAAATGCTGCATGAATAAAATTCCTGAATTTGGAGGTAAATATTTCTTCTTTGATCCCTGTGGGAGAGGTCATGCTGACCACGTCAGCCTCTGGCACAATGTGTGACGTATTCTCATCACTCACTCCAGGCACAGGAAAAATCAGAGGCCAGAGTCACAATCAAGATCTTACTTGTTTGCCACCAAACTGTCCAAAAATAATAAAATAAAAAAAAAAGAAAGAAAAGAAAAGAGAAAAAATTAAAAGAAAAAGAGAATCTTACTTGGTCCCAGCCTCCCTTGGTCAAGGAATTTTTTGGGTACCCTCCACATTCTCTATTCAATGTGGGTCTTTCTCAAGATGAGATTTATTTTCTTTGACTTCCAGCAAGTTCAGGGTAAATTATATACCTTCTTGGGGCTTCTGCCATCTCTAAATCTTTTCTTTTTTTCTTTTTTTTTAGAAGTATCATGGGATGTGGGATGTCCAATGCCAGCCAAGAGGGAGTAAGTCAACTGCAGTCAACCTTTCCCACTGAGTATAACTAACATTGTAGACAAAATGCAGAAGAAAAAAACCCTAAAGAAGCTAAAAAGTAAATAATAGCAAGAAAATTGAGGACCAAAGTCAAAACTTTAATGACCCATAGCCTGGGTAAGTTTTGTGGGGTATTTTTATCTTCTTTATCTTCTTTAAATCCAGAAAAATTTAACATAAGGGCCGGTCAAGCCTTGGAATTTTGTAAGTTGGCACTGTCAGGAAAACTCCAGGAGAAATCGCCTTTTGCTTCCCAGAAGATCAGGAAAAGTAAACCCTGCGTGGTGGACAGTATCAGAGAAATCCCTGATTTTATTTTTTTTATATGAAACAAAACACACACATGGAAAGTTTTTTTTTTTTTTTCTACTTCATATAACATTGTTCAGGACCACAAGATTTTAAAGGTCTCTTTCCCACTACTTTTCTGATTTAGGAGTACTACTTAAAAATATTTACCAATGCTATAAATATTATTGTATTAATATATGTATTAACAATTTTAATGAATGCTATATCCACTATACCTTTTGATCCTCCGAACAGAAACTTTAAATCAGATGTTTTGACATTCAAAAATGTTTTATAGTGCCCAGATAAGGACCTCCCCATGGTTCAAACATGACCATGGAACCACTTTGATGGACAACTGGGAGTTGTATGACCTGAGTGTTACTATGCATGCAGGTTTCCCATGAGCCTCCCTGAAAGCTGGTTGCTGTAGGTCACTTTTCCAGACTCTATTGTACCTATGCTGCTTGTCATCCACTTTCATCCCTAGGAAACCCTTTTTCATCCTTCTCTACCTACTTAACAGTTTTAGGAGTTATTATTCAGAATTCCTAACAAAGAAGTACTAAAGCATGTATGAGATTTTAAAAATTATATATAATTTTTAAAAATTTAAATTTTAAATGAAAAAGATGTATGGCCAAATTTTTTTGAAAGTTTGAGCACCACATTTAATATCTTAATTTTTATGCTATTCAGGAATATATTTTGTGAATAATAAGAATTATTTCATAAATATATATATGTACGAATAGAGGCTAGGCACTGTGGCTCATGCTTGTAATTCTAGCACTCCAGGAGGCCAAGGTGGGAGGATCACCTGAGGTTAGCCGCTTGAGACCAGCCTGAGCAAGAACAAGACCCTGTCTCTACAAAAAACAGAAAATTTGGCCGGCATGGTGGCACATGCCTGTAGTCCCAGCTACTCCGGAGGCTGAGGCAGGAGGATCACTGTAGCCCAGAAGTTTGAGGTTGCTGTGAGCTAAGCTGATGACATGGCACTCTAGCCTGGTCAACAGATCAAGACTTTGTCTCAAAAAAAAAAAATAAGGAAATTGCCTTGAGTCTCACATGAGACTGGACTTTGGAATTGATGCTGGAAGGTGTTAAGACTTTGGGGAACTCCTGCAAAGGAGTGATTGTATTTTGCAATATGAGAAGGACATGAGATTTAGGGGGCCAGTGGTGGAATGATGTAGTTTGGATATTTGTCTCCTCCAAGTCTCATGTTGAAATTTGATCCTCAGTGTCAGAGGTGGGGTCCGGTGGGAGGTGCTTGGGTTATGGGGGCAAATCCCTTTTGAATGGCCTGGTGCCCTCCCAGTGATAATGAGTGAGTTCTTGTTTTGTTAGTTCCACTAGAGCTAGTTGTTTAAAAGAACTGGGCTCATTCTCATTCTCATTCATTCTCTCTCTCTCTCTCTTTCTCTCTCTCTCTCTCTCCTTCTCTCCACCATGTGACATGCCTGCTTCCCCTTTGCCTTCTGCCTTGATTGGAAGCTCCCTGAAGCCTTCACCAGAAGCAGATACTGGTAACATGCTTATACAGTCTAGAGAACCATGAGCTAAATAAACCCTTTTTCTTTATAAATTACCCAGCTTCAGGGGTTTCTCTATAGCAATGCAAAATGGATTGACACAACCTTAAAAGCAGCTAGAAGAAAAAAATGCTAAATTACACATAAGGGAAAAGTATAACTGTAGGTGTCTCACCAGAAATCACAGAGCCCAGAAGACAATGAGACAGCATCTTTAAAGTGGTAGGAGAAAATAAATAAATAAATAAAGAGCAGGAAGAACTGTCAACTTTGAATTTTATATCCAGCAAAGATATCCTTTAGGAATGCAGGTAAAATAAAGGCATCATCAGATGAAGGAAAACTAAGAGAATTCACCACCAACAGACCTGCTTTAAAATAAATGCTAAAGAAACTTTTTCAAGTTAAGAGGAAACTAGACCAAAGGGAAACATGGAATAAAGTAATGAATAAGGAACAAAAGAAATGATAAATATCTGGATAGAGCATTTTTCTCCTCTTAAATTCTTTGAAATATATGTGACTGTTGAAAGCAAAAATTGTAACATTGTTTACAATGTTTCGATGTAAATAGATATAATATATGTGACAATTATAACACAAAGGGGGAAGGATAAAGAAACTAATATGATTATAAGGTTTCTATAACTTACTTTTAGGTAGTAAAATATTACCTCTAAGTATACCATGAAAAGTTAAATACATTGTAATCCCTAGAACAACCACTAAAAAATACCACAAAGAAATAAAGCCAAAATTCCAATAAATAAATTTGAAATACTATTTAAATACTATTTAAATACTCCAAAAGAAGTCAGGAAAGAGAATAAAACAGAGGTGGCAAACATAAATAAAATGGTCATCTTAAATTTAACCATAACAACAATTTTATTAAATATAAATTGTCTAAACACCCATTCAAAGACAGATATCTTCAGACTGGTTAAAAATACATGCAGTCTGCAAGAAACAACTACATGCAGTCTGTAAGGAACATATTTTAAATATAGTAATATTCATATCTTTAAAGGAACATGATGGAAAAAGATATACCATGCAAACACTAACCAAAAGAAAGTTGAATGCCTATATTTTCAGACAAAGCAGACCTCAGAATATGGAACATTATCAGAGATAAAGAAGGACATTACATAATGATAAAAGGGTAAATTCACCAAGAAGTCTTGACACTAAATGTGTACGTATCTAACAACAGAGCTCCAAAATACATGAAGCAAAAGTTGACAGAACTGAAGAGAAATAAACATCCACAATTATACTTGAAGGCATCATGAGACCATGACTCCTGAAATCTTGGCCATAACCTCTCTGAAGAGGTGTTATATAGATTGGCCCTCTCTGTGCCTCTGATTTCACAAGGAAGTGGCTCTGCTCCAGAGAGTTCAAAGTGACTATGACACCATGTCCAATGCTGTGAGGATCCCACCCTAGCCAGATGTGGGACTGTGAGCGTGGCCAGACATTAGCTACTTGTTGAAATTTTAGGGAAAAGCAATAGTAATTTCCCAGCAGAATCTCTCTGAAAAACCTAAGAAAGCTCAAACATAGCATTAAGAATTTGTTGTGGACAGATGTTGCTTTGTATCCATTATTCATTTTCCCGCTTCTGGTAACAGATTCTGCTTTAGAAAAACACCTCTAAATATCGTTAGCTTGAGCCACACTTAAGTCAATAAGTATATTCCATCCTCCTGACTTTGGTGATTGGTCAGAGATGGGAACACAACTCAGTGAGAGCCAATGAGATGCTGGGTCTTCTGGGAAAGAGAGCTTCCTCTCCTCTTTGGGGACCACCTGAAAGACGATGTCTTTTCACATGGATGGTGTGGTGTGAGGGTACGAGAGCTGGGCAGGCTGCAGTCTTTTTGACATCACAAGGGAAAGCCTGGAAATATGCTGTGTAGGGCCTGAGGGTGAAACCTACACTACGGAAATCAGAGTGGAAGGACAGACAAAAAAGAGACTTGATTGCTTTCAGCCTTTGGTACCAGCCTTGGTACAAGCCTTACCTACAGAACAGACAAAACAGCTCTGGTATTTTCTATTATCCAAAGGAATAAATTTTCCTTTTTTCTTTCTTTATTTTCTTTTTTTCCCCCCCTCACATTAGTTTGAGTTGGGTTTCTGTCATTCACAACATAGAATCCTGACTAATAGGGTTAACTCTCACCTCTTCACTCCTCTCCAAACATCTTTCTCAAAAATGAAAACAAAAGTCATGTGAAACAAGTGATTTTGCATTTAATGCTGGAAAGTATCTTTACTTGTAGAAAATAATGATATGCAAGTATTTAAAATACAAAGCTGTATACGTAGAAATAATAATCACTTAATGAATAGCAATCACAAAGGAGTCATTCAGTATTTAAAATTGTAAGCAAAATAATTCTTCTATATTTATACAGAATGCTATTAACTCTGCTTTTGCTACAACATTTGAAGAGGATCACTTGAGTGATTGCCTCCTGAGAGAATGTTTGTCACCACCATACATTACCTATAATTCTTAAAGAACAAGAATAAATTCAGGAGACTCAGTCTTCCCTGACACTTTTGGTACTCAAGGAAAGAATGGATTCCAAATTCCTTCATGGGTTTTGCATTTCAGGCTCAAGCTACTTCCTTGAGTAAAAATTCCTTAAGTGTTCTGAAAGCACAATCATGCCTAACCTCAGGGGAAAAGATTCACACGACCCAGCTGAACAGGGACTGGGTGCTTAAAACCAGGGAGTTCCTAAAATGAAAGTGTTGCTGTGGATAAGTACTGGTCATATGGAGAGACTGAAACGGAGTTAATTCTGGGTAGATAAGGAATTCAAGAGATTGGTCTTCAGGAGGCATTTATCAAGGATCTGCAAGAAATTCAGATGTGAAGAAAGCACAGTCCTACCAGGCAGTCGCCCCTACCCTGGTGGGAGGATATCTCTCATACCCCGTGTGGTAAACTGTGAGACATCGAATCAGAAAAGCTCCTGGCCAGGTGGCCTTGAGAAACAGGGAGGAGTTCAGTGTGTGTGGGTGGAGGTGGATTTCCCCAGGGAAAGGGAAGAACATGAGAAAGTCACAGAGAAGAGGAAGTACAGAGCAGTGCTGGGCCCATTGAGTAGTGCAGCTGGGATGGGACGCGATCACAGGACCACCTTCTCTGAGAAAGCTCTATTGTGTGTGAGGGGGAGTCTTAGCTTGTGATAGAGGCAAATTCAGAGGCCCCCAGGTGAGGTGGGTAACAGACCCCTATCAACAGTACAAAAAGGCTGTGTACTTCTGAAAAGGGCACAGTCTAGTGAAAAAAGTCCATAGCTCTGGATTTGATTTCTAGCTCTGCCACCTAATACCTATGTGACCTTAGATGTTCATTTAACTCCCACAGCCTCGGGATCTTAACTGTAAAAAGAGGAGAATTATATCTTTTGTATGTACCTCGCGGGATTGCCGTAAACATCAGGAGAGAGAGTAGGCACAAAATAGCATTGTCAACTACTTCTTTGTAGTTGGTTGTCTTGTCGTGTATGTGAAGCTCCCTAGTAAATGTTATTATTACCCTTTTATTCCACTGTGTAAGAAATACTTGAGGCTAACGAACATGTCTTCTTCATGACTGGGAACATAGTAGATGATTTTTTAAATAAAATGTTACTTGATGAATGAATGCATAAATGAATGAGTAAATAAATGAATAATGTTCAGAGTCCTCCAACTAAACAATAATCAACCTCCCACAATAACTACACTGAACGCCTGTTGACTGTTCTTTGACTGACTGACTTTGGGGCAGTTTGGCCTGGTGGCGGCTCTGAGTGAGCAGTGATCAGATGGTGTCGTGGTAGAGAAGGAAGCCTGTGAACGTGGAGTCATTGACATTGTCTGCATAGAGTCCGTTGTGCTCCCCCTCTCCATACACCTGGAGCCAGACTTGGTCGCCCACCTCCAGATGCAACAGCACAGAGCCAGAGGCTTGGTCCACGTTCTTGTCCTGGTACTGGTCATAGGTAAAGAGCACAGCCTTGTCCTTCTTGAAGAGGCTAACCTTCACATCCTTCATATAGACTGTGATGTGGTAGGAGAAGTAGTACAACCCAGGAATGTTGCAGTGGAATTTACCCGTGGTGCCATCATAGTGGTTTTGCTGATTGTAGAAGATCTTGGTAAAGCGAATGGGAACATTGGGGACGGTGACGCGATTCTCCAATCCCACACTGAATGCTGAGCGGTATACATAGGCACCTTCTCCAGGTTCTCCTTTCCTGCCTGGGTTTCCTGGAAAGCCTCGGGGACCTTCAGCCCCGGTCACTCCAGTCTCACCAGTATCACCCTTAGGACCAACAAGACCTAGAAAACGAGAGGACCTCAGTGACCACAAGGAACAGAACTCCTGCCTAGGTTACTTCCAGCCTAAAGTACTGTCCCCGTGGCTCCCACCTACAGTCTATTTGACTTACACAGCAAGGAACCAATGAGAGCTCCCAAAAGGGGAGAAATGTTAATTTCTCATTCCAAATTCCCCACAGCCTAGCAGGCTCCCATAAATTCATCTCCAACTTTACCTCCTGTAAGTCTCCATCATATACCCTCCACTCTGTCAGCCCTTTATACACTGGCCCAGTTAACCACATCGTGCTCTTCTATCCCCTCTGTCTAGGGTGCCCTTCCTCTTCTGCTCTACCTACTCATCCTTCAAGGCCTGGCTCAAGCCTTGCCTCCCCACCTTGAAGCCTTCGTACTTAATCCAGGTCTGCATTGAGTGCATTTCTCTGTGCTTCATATTTTGCATATTTTTTTCACATTCAGTGTGCTATATTTATTTAGAATAGACTTTCTTGCAGTAACCACTAACAGAGTCTTGTGTATTAGACTTATCTTCTTAACTAGACCAAGAGTTCTCCAAAAGCAGGACTGTGACCTTCAGGGGGTGTGCAGTAAATGTGGTTTAGTGTCACTGGATGGCATGGGAATTAAGTGAACTAGAAGGGGAACAGGAGTATGAACATATTGGGAATAGGAATGAGGGCAGGGATGGGAAGGGGGATGGGGAAGGAGATGCAAATGGAACAGAGTCAGAGGATACTTGATTATAGAGTTACCACCTATCCTCATCCTTGGGAGACCAATCCAAATCCCTTTCAGATTCCTTATGGTTTACATTAAAAAGTTTTTTTCTTCCCTGTGTCTAAGGATTAGTTAGTAACTAATGCCCTCATATGGCCCTGGAAGCCCTCCTTTACCCAAGAGAGGTCTGTGATGAAGGAGGCCAAAAATCTTGTTCTTACCTGAATCTCCTTTCTCACCCTTTTCACCAGGGGTACCATCTCTGCCATCTCGGCCTGGGGTCCCATTGTGGCCAGGATGCCCTGGGATGCCCGCCATCCACCCTGTGCAGGCCCCCTTGGGTGGGGGAAACAGGACTCCTGTTTCTTCAGTTGTGGTGTCCTGGCCATGGCTTGGCAGAACTAATAGAAGCAGAACAGTTCGCAGCAACAGCATCTTGGGCCCTGGAATCCACATGTGCATGGTCACCCATGGGAGAGACAGACCCTACACGGCACACCCAGTCAGGACCAGACGGGACTCCAACCATCTCAGCAGAAGCCACTTCTAAGAATTGCTCTCTCCTTCCAGGAAGATTTTTCTGTGGTCTACCTTGATCTCTTTCTGCCCTGAAATTTGCAACTGTTCCCTGTGTGTATTCCCCTTCCCTTAGCAAGATTGTGAGTTCAGTGATAGCAGGGATAACACTCCTAATTTCCCCACATCTGAGCACAGGACTAAGCACAGGGAAAGCTCCAAGAGTCAACTTTCCAAGAATCCATCTTTGAGTTTTCCAGGAATGATGACCCGGATAGGTCCACTCAACAGTAACCAACATCTCTCTCCCTAGTTCTGTTCTTCTTTTTCTTCCCCTCCTCTTCTCTCAGATTCTGTGTCTATTCTCGTTTTTACTCTCTTCTCTCTCTGTTCCTCTTCCCCTCTCCTGGGTCACATGTTTGACCTTTGGGTATATTATGCATGCACACACACACATGTGCACATGCATGCACACACACGTGCACACTCATGCGCACACACACATACACACACACAGCTTCACCATGAGTTAAACAGGCAACCAGAGACACATTGTCCCATGAGCATATCCACTGACCATTTGCCTGGGCCACAGTTACCTGCTCCTTTCCTGCCTGATGCCTATTCAGCCTTTAGGACACAGTCTGGACGTCACCTCTTTCAGGAAGTCCTCCCTGTCCTTCCTCTCCCATCTTGGTTGGTTGTTCCTCCTCTGTGTTTCCCCAGTGCCCTGACTTATCGCTATTATTGCGCTCCTTGCACTCTCCTGTAATTCCTGTTTTGCTCACTCATTTTCCCCATTAAACAAACTACTGGCACACTACTAGCACAGAGTGGGGACTAAATAGATACTTTTATAATGAAAAAAAGAAAGCAAGAGAGAGCCAGAGAGAGGGAGAAAGGGAAAGAGAAAAGAAGGTAAGAAGACGAATGGAAGAGGGAAGGAAGGAGGGAGAGTGAAGTATATTTGAAATATGTATTCTGTGCACATATATATATATATATACACATGCACATATATATGAATATATACAGTTATATAGCTCTTTGGAAACTATAGAAAACAAGAATTTCTCCGCTTATTTTTTAAATTTTTTTATTTCAGCATATTACGGGTGGTACAAATTTTTACATTACGTACATTGCCTTTGCCCCACCAGAGTCAGAGCTTCCGTGGATGCAGAGAGATGGAAACACTCATACACTGCTGGTGGGACTGCAAACTAGTACCTCTGTGGAAAGTAATATGGAGATACCTCAAAGAGCTACAAGTAGAGCTACCATTTGATCCAGTAATTCCAACTACTGGGCATCTACCCAAAAGAAAAAAAGACATTCTATAAAAAAGACATCTGCACTAAAATGTTTATAGCAGCACAAGCCTCTGTTTATTTTTTAACATAAAAATCACACTTTACAAAAATTTATTCCCCTATTTTTGCTTTGGCATTTTCTCATTTTTATAATCACTTTTTTTTTTTTTTTGAGACAGGATTTCACTCTATTGTCAGGGTTAAGTACAGTGGCATCATCATAGCTCATTGCAATTTCAAATTCCTGAGATCAAGCCATCCTCCTTCCTCAGCCTCCTGAAGAGCTGGGACTACAGAGGCAAGCCACCACATCTGGCTAATTTTTCTATTTTTTTATAGAGATGGGGGTCTCACTCTTAGGCTGGTCTTGAACTCCTGACCTCAAGCCATCCTCCTGCTTCTGCCTCCCAAAGTGCTAGGATTACAGGTATGAGCCACCATGCCTGGCCTATAATCACTATTTTAAATGTCTGTATACTAGTCCATGAAGTGGATATAGCCAAAATATACTTAACCATTTCCATTTTGTTACATTTTTAACCTATTTCGATTTTAAATTATTTTATATACTGTGACAAATTATATTTTGATTTTAAAATAATATATGAAACATAATTAGGTATATAGCTTTTCCCAAAATTATTGTTCCATTATGACATAATCACAGAAGTAAATTATTGGACCAAATAATTTGGTGTGAACATGTTTAAGTCTCTTAAACATGTGAACATGTTTAAGTCTCTTGATACATATTCCCACATTGCAGTATGTTACACTGCCACCTAGTAATACATTAGTGTGCATGTGTAAAAGGGTCTATCTTAACTATCCCCATCAGCTTTGGGTATTATCATAAAATACATTTTTGTGTTGTTAGTGTAATGAACCAAAGAAATGGTACCTTGCTGCTGTAGTTTGCATTCTTCAATCATTAATGAGTTGTACATTTTAAAGTCCTATTTCCTAAAAGCCTATTTCCTAACTTAATTACTCAACCATGATATTTCCAAGTATTCTTGTCACTTAATTTATTAGAGACATAGTTTTTTGAATCCATTTGTGTGACCTCTTTGTACCAACATTTTACATATGCTATGACTATTTCTTTCAATGTGCAGATTATTCTTTTGTTTTCTTCATCCTAATTTTTAGATGTACAGAAGTTTTAGTTTTTGTATAGCCAGCTCTGTTGATATTTTTCTTTGTTTCTAAGTGTTAAACAGTCCTTATCCATGCTAGGATTTCCTAAGTATTCTACTTTCTTCTATTTTTTCCTATTGTTTGACATATTTAAAATTTCACTCTTTAATCCAACTCTAATTTTTTTGTTTTAATGTAAGCTATGATCTAAAGTACTCAAATGATTTCTCCCCATTTAAAAACTAGCTGTTTAAACACCTTTAGTTAAATTAATCTTTTCCTTCACTATTGATTGAATGTATCATTTATCAAATATCAAGTTCTAGTATGATCTTAAAGGTAAAGTAAGAATTGAGAATGAAACTGGCAGACAGAAGAAAGGAGACAGAAATAACAGCAGCATCAGAGACAAGTGCTACCAGAGTCAGGTGTTGCCCCTTAGGTGTCAAGAGTACTTTCAAGGTCTGCTCTTATCACCTGTGTGTACATTTGTCGCCCTCTACTGAACTTGGAGAGAACTTTGAGCTCTGTGCTTGTTTTCTCCAGAAATGAGAGAAGAATGAATCTATGAGGCTGTATTGTTTTCCACAAGGAGACAGGAGGAGAAAACCCAGAACATGCAAACTGGTGAAGGCAACTAAGCCAGGCCCCAAAGACAAAGCGTGTTGGTGTCTTTCCCCCAACCCTGGGAGGAGGGCAAAGTCAGAGGTCTCTAGAGTTCTCAGTTTTCTCCCTCTTTATTAAAAATCAAGATCCTGGCCAGGCACAGTGGCTCACTCCTATAATCCCAGCACTTTGGAAGGCGGAGGTGGGAGGATTTCCTGAGCTCAGGAGTTCGAGACCAGCTCGAGTAAGAGCAAGACCTCGTCTCTACTATAAATAGAAAGAAATTAGCCAACATCTAAAAACAGAAAAAATTAGCCAGTGGGGCGGCACTGCCTGTAGTCCTAGCTACTTGGGAAGCTGAGGCAGGAGGATTGCTTGAGCCCAGGAGTTTGAGGTTGCCGTGAGGTAGGCTGACGCCACGGGACTCTAGCCCAGGCAACAAAGTGAGACTCTGTCTCAAAAAAAAAAAAAATCAAGATCTTATTTTCCTACCTTAAGGGAATACAGTTGTCCCCCAATACTTCAATGCTATGGACAAATTTCTTCACCAACAGGTACCATCAGTCTGGTTCTGTGACAGTGGCATAGGGTGGAGGGGGGATGAGCACAGAGTTCTGGGAGTTTCTGAGGCTAGGGACAGATTCTGAGTGAAGAAGAAGGTTGCATTCTAACTTAATTCTGGATGGACAGTGAGCAGATGGTAGCAATTGAAGATCAGTGCAGAGGTGCCTAATTTTCAAAAACATTTATTTTAAAATTATTTGTGCCTTTCATTCAAATATAGCAATTATTAACATTTTGATTGTTACATTCTATTTCTATAGGGGAAAGCATTATTAAATGGAACTGGGAATTGTAATCTAAGACTCAGTCGTGCCTAGGAAGAAAACTGTTACATGGATCATGAAGCTAAATCCCCAGCGACACTTATAATTGCTTGCCTTTGTAGCATGCTATTTATTTGTAAAGTCCTTATTTCACTTAACATCTCATTTAATTCTCACAACCATTTTGAGAGACAGTATGGGGTAGAACAGGCAGCACAGGCTCTATGATCTTAGTGCAGAGGTTCAAATAATTTGTTCTTACCTATAACATGTTTCCGTCTTATGTTTGTTGGAAGATTAAATGGCATAATCCATGCAGAGTGCTTAGAATGATGACTGGCACATGTCAGTGCTCAATAAATGTTAGCTATGACTGTACTCATTTTAGAGATGAGGAAAGGGGGCTTCAGAAAGGTTAAGTGAGTTGTCCAAGGTCACAGAGCTAAACATAGAGAGGCTGGAAATCAAATTCTGGTCTTCCAGAGCCCAATAACAGACTCTTAGACATAGCCCAGGAAGAGAAAATTATCATGGTCACACATCCTGCCTTTTAATATTCCACCCCATAGGGTGGGAGTTACAAGAAAAAGTAGCATGAAAGGACCCCCAGATTGTGAAGCAAATGACCTGGCTTCTGGTCTAGACTCCACCTAACTCTCTGGGTAACTTACCTGCCTCCCCCTACCTCCCTGGCTTCATGCTCTTTGCCCATAAATGTGGGATAGTAATTCTCACCTAACCTATTTCACAACATTATTGTGAGAATTAATTGATAGAAAGTATGAAGAAGTACTTTGTAAACTTATAAAGTACTCCACACGTAAGTGAAGAGAAAGGGAGCAAACAAGTATTTATGGACCACCTGCTATGAACCACGGCTGAATACCGCTCACCCCATTAATCTGATTTCGCCCACACGACTCCAGGAGGTGGGACTGAGTTCCCACAAGAGGAATTTGAAGACCAGAGGTTCAGTAATTTCTGCCCAAAGATAACAAGTAAAAGAGAGCAGAGGTGAGATTTGAAATCCAAACCACTGCACTGGCTTTTCTGGCAAATCTCACACAGGCATGGACTCATTCACTTTTAAAATTATACAAAGGGATGACCATGATGTTCTTAGGATCCTAAAGGGGTAGTATGGTCTCTCGTTTTCATGTTAAAATATATGACAAATTTCACTTTGACCTACTAGAAATTTAGGGCAACAGCAGAATTCTGTGAAATGCAAGGACAGGGTTCCCTTTGGGACTGACAGGAGGCAGGGCCATGTGGGAGAGAGGCCACCAAGCCTAATGCCAATTCCTTCAGTAGGAAAAGGCATTAAGGCAACAAAATCCTTGAATGTCAGAGCCAAGGGACCCTGGAAATGATCTCACCCTTGCCCTGCTTTTACAAGTGGGGAGGCTGAGGAGGAGAAGGAATGTATTTATTAGATCTGCATAGAATCCAACTCCCACACTGGGAGATTTTACACATTATTTATTTTCATCTTTATAAGAACCCAAGGAAAATGACCTCAACTTCAGAGATGAAGAAACATCATTCTCTCAGGGAAATGATCCCTGCGAGAATACTGTTCTGACTTCCAAACCAGTGAGGCTTCCATCACATTACACGACCTCTAAAAGCATTGCATGGAGCTTCTCAGACTCAGCTTCCTAATCTGCTAAATGGGATCATGTGAGATGAGGAACATGAGAACATTTTGACATTGGTAAGGGTTCTTTGGAGTATAATTTGCATAAGGCACTTGGAAAACTTATTTCATATAATATTCCCATAGATCTGCTTTTGACTCTAATGTGTAGGAGAACCTGGGATTTGAAGAGGCCAAGATGCTGGCTTAAGATTATGCAGCCATTGGGTTGAATTATATGAAACAGCCTTTTTTTTTAAACAGAATCTCCCTCAGTAGCCCTGGGTAGAGTGCAGTGGCATCATCATAGCTCGCTGCAACCTCAAACTCCTGGGCTCAAATGATCCTCCTGCCTCAGCCTCCCAAGTAGCTGGGACTACAGGCACATGCTACCACACCCAGCTAATTTTTCTATTTTTAGTACAGACAGGTTCTCGCTCTTGCTCAGGCTGATCTTCAGCTCTTGACCTCAAGCGATCCTCCCACTTCAGCCTCCCAGAGTGCTAGGAATACAGGTGTGAGCCACCACACCTGGCCTGAAACTGCCATTTTTAAAGGTCAAATGTAGAATATTGGCAATTTCACATGGCAGTTTCATAACTGCCGATGACAAATGGCAGAACCAGGAGTCAATTCAGCTTCATCTGGCTCTTAGGAGCATTGTCTAAAAGTTTTCATTCAGCCCTGCAAGAGAATTGTTAGTATCTCCATGCCAAATACACACACATATACACCCTCCCACATACACACACACATACACACACACCCATACACACACACACACAAACCTGTACCCTCAAGGAACAGATAAAGCAGAGCATCCCTCCTCTGCATTTTTAGGACAAGTCCTCCACGTTAAGGAATTCCTGGTTGAAATCTTCCACTCTCCAAAAGCCATTACCTTCTGGCTTCAGCCAAGTGTTACAGGCCACTGGTCCTCTGGCTTGACAAGGAGTATGCAGAATGTTTGTCCCTGCAGCCACCTAAAAAAGACAAGTCCTGTGTCTCTCCTTAAGACTCAAGACTGCAGATTAAGCTGCAGGGCTCCCTCCCCACTGCTCAGCTCTGGAGCCACGCTGACCCCATCATGTTCCTCTGGACATACTCTGCTGGCCTGAAGGGATCCCTGCACCCTAATAACTAGGCAGAGCCAGCCTTACTCTTAATGGAGTCCCTGGGAGTGAGATGCCCCCACCCTATGAGGCTTGATCCAAACCAGGACCTCCCAGGCCAGGGACCCACATCCGCTACTACATGAGGGGCTGGCGGGACCTCCAAAATCCCTCCCACACTGACCTTCTGCAGCTACAGCTGAAAACCACCAGGATGCCCCAGGCACAGCACTCACTGGGGTACCTGGGATTGGACTTGGCAAAGATTAGGCAGATTCATTTGCTTCTGTCTGAAAACACCTTTAAAAATACAATTTTTCATAAGTTCCCACCTATGCCAGGTTTTGCTCACATTATCTCATTGGAACCTCTCCATGTTAGATATCCCCATGCCTACAGATATCCCAAATCTACAGACAACAACCATGTCACACTCATCTTTGTATCTTAAGAACCAACCCAGTGTCTGGCCCATAGAATCTGCTCGATCAATATTTGCTGAGTATAATCAAGTGGTAGAACTGTTCTCCAAACTCCAGTCTGAGGTCAGAGCTCAGCTTGGCTTTTCTCAAGCTGCCTTTGAGCATGCTTCTTCCTTCGTCCCGCCTGGGCAAGCTGAGAAGCAACTTATCCCCTTCTCCTCCTTTATCCAACAGGACTTCATCTGCGGACGAACCTGCCACCTCACTGACCCCAACCTTTTCCTCAGTAGGGATTCTGCCGCAGAGTGAATGAGCACAATTCAGGATGGTCCCAGGCATTTTAACCAGAAGGAACAACTCTCTCCGTGGGTCAATTGAGGAAGAAGGCAAAGCCTATCTGCCTCCACCAGTGCTGCCCTGGCCAGAGTTCTGCCTGTCCCCACACTGTCCCCACACTGCTGTGGACAGGAGAGCCTGAGCACATGCGGCCAGAGGCTATGGACAGCACCCCCACCCAGCCTGGAACTAAATAAAATTGCTCTTACCCTCCAGTACGGAATCAGAGCCACAGACTGCAGTCAGAACAGAAGTGAGGAGGAGATGGCCCTGCCTCAACAGCCTGGTACTCAGGGGGACAGGCAGTCCCCACCTCACAATTGTCCTGTTTCATTGGCCAGCCCAGCAAAGGCTCGGGGCCAGTGGGTGGGCATCTTGCCCCTGGCAGCTGCCTCCAGCCTCCACCCCAGGGAACCTGGTGCAACAGAGCCTGGACTTGGGAAGCCAAGTGGAGCTTCAGTGAAAACACTTGTGTTTCCAGTCCTTGGCCCTTATTTTTCCTCCTCCAAGAGCGGCAGAAAATGGGGCAAGGGTCGAGACCACAGCAGAAAAACAAGATATTTCTGTATCTGAGAGAGAAACTTCCTTGTGCCAATGAATTGCTCAGTGGTCCAGGAGACCTCCCTCTCCCACAGATTTATCCTAATAAGTCAGGAGCACCAATTATCACATCACACTTCTGCTCACTGTGCACGATTGAGTGTGAGGTTGTGTGGTGCAGACAGTGAGTACATCAGAAGGGAGAACCGGGCTGCAACAGGTCCAGAAATAGAACGTCCTCCACTCTCTGGCCTAGACCCTGAGGTTAGGAAAGACCTTGTATATTAATTCTGAGAACTGAGGTGCAGGGAAGTTCCCGGGGCCATGAGGGGCTTGGCAAGTTAAAGAGACCCTAAATTCCTAAAGCTCATGGTTCCCGTGTATAATAATTCAAATCTAATATAACAGAAAACTTACATAAACTATAATATTGGAAGACCAACTTTCAAGATTTTCTTCTTCCAAAATTCAGAATAAGGTTTTGGCAGCTAGCTTTGTCCTTGTGTGTGTACATGTGTGTGAGCCCACACCTTGCCAGTGCCTCAAACACGTGCCTAATTTGCCTGTTGGGGAACTTAGCTCTGGGCTGGGAGCAGCCTGGAGGACTGGAAGCTGCCACCCACGTAAGTGTTCCTGAAAGGCTTGGCCTTGAAGTGGCAAGTGGCAACATTCAACATCCTGGAATCTTTCATGACAAACTCGTGTTTTGTTTTTGAAGGGCAGAATCAGAGCTGGTTCTTACCAGCCACAAATTCTGATGAATTAAATGATGACCCCAGCAAGGGCTCAAGACCAGCAACAACTTCAACAAGACATTCTGAAAACAGAATGTTGTCAGGCAGGGGCTGAGCAAGTGTGTGTCTTCCCCCAAATATCACCTCCGCTGGCCACACAGAGCCTGAAAGGCCAGCAGTAAAGTCAGGTCCACTATTAAAGTCAAGTAACAGTCTGATATAAGGCCTTGGCCTCCTGAAAATATGCAAATATTTCTAGAAAAGTCACATTGGGCCATTGAGATTGGAGAATGGGGCCCTTTCTAAAGGCCCCCAGATTAGATAAGTGGCCTTGAAAATGAGGTTCTGTGTAGTTTAGCAGGCAGATTGGATCAAGGAGAAAACACAGAGAAACTGCAGCAACTCGCAATTACATCACTGTTTTATTTTTATTGTAGCATTTTCTCATTTATTTTTGGTTTGCGTTGCTATTGCTGCTCCTTATTAGGATGTAAACTTCGTGAGAGGAGAGGCTTCGCCTATTCAATATTGCATCCCTTAGTTCCTAGAATAGAACCTGGTAAGAGGTAGGCAATAATAAATATTGAATCAATGAATAAATTAATGATCATATTCGATCTTCCTTTGGTGATAGCTGTGATTGTCTCTCATTTTACAAATAAAGAGTCCAGAGTTTAACGAGGGTGACTCCTTCAAAGCACAGATCCAAGACTTGAACAGAGATTTATCTTACTACAAAATCCATATACTGTCTAATATCTCATGTCCTCTTCGTCCTAGTAAACTGTGAGGCCCCAAGATTCATGTATGTGCTTCAGGGTAGCTTTGGGGCTATCATAAAAAGTATTTTCTTCTAACCTTATGGGAATGCAGCTAGTTATAGCAGGCTTTAGGTATTGCACAAGGTAGAATGACTTTAGCCCCAAAATAACACCACGACTATGCTGGGTCTGGCTGTCAGCCAGTGACATTGTAAAAGCCTGTCATTTTGTGAGGCCTCAGGGAAATCTGCCATCCTCCACAAAGGCCATGATGTGGAAAGAAGCAGTTCTGTGCCACACTGGTTTAGAGACTGTAACTAAAAAACGTTCAATCAGAAATGCCCTGAGGCAAGTCTTTTTCTCCCAGGACAGAAGTGTTACTACCTAGAATGAAATAACAAAATAAATGTGGTCATTTTCTCCAGCAAGCCATGGCCCTATTAGCATGTGAATTGGGATATAGAAACAACAGGCCAAATGACTGCATCTTCCTTGAGTATTGTTAGGTATTGCCATACTTTTTGCTTAATTATGAGTTTTAAAAATAATCTTAACTGAAATAAATAAGCATAATCACTGTATCTTGAAAAACATTACAGAAGATTGGAGGAAGACAGCAGAGTGAGCACATCTGCTGCATTCCACTCCATCCCCAAATCCCTAGAAATGGCAAGAAAGGAAAACATTACTGTATCTCTTCCAAAGGCTTTTGCTACATTTGCACTTCGACCAAGGCAACCTCAGACAATAAGTTTCTGTTTTGGCACTGCATGTTTTATACTAACTGTAACCACTTCCACCAGCCAGAAGGCCATCACCATTCAAGTCCAGTCAGTTCAGCTAAGCAACCCTTAAGTCATACTTTTGGAAGCCTGTGTCCTTGGACCACTTCTGATACTAAAATATTGTACTAGCCAAGGAATTTGTTACAATAATTTTGGGGAGGCTGGAGAAGCGAGGGGAGGAAGACGGTGTTACCCAGAGATCAGGAAGTGGCTACTGTGCCTGGGCTACAACTTGTGAGCCTGCACTCACTGCGTGTCCTGCAAGCATCACCACCATTGCTGCTAAACAGAAGCCACTGCCACTGTCATTGCCACTGCCACTGCCAGGGGCACTCCCTTAAACAGACTAGCTCCTCCATTCCTCCACAGCTCAGTCTTGCATAGCTGTCTCCCATGTGCAGAAGGTAACTGGAACCCCTCTGGCAAAGGATTATAAGATATGTCATTTTAGGCATCCAGCTCCAACAATGCAAAATGGATTATGGGAAGGTGAATGTAGAGCTATGTACTGATAGACATGATCTGGCACAGGCCACAACATCAAAACATGGAAGAATTGACACCCAAAGAAAGAAAGCTAATAAGAAAAAAAAAAAAAAAAGCTTCATAGTAAGTGTTAATACACAATTACAAAGAGATGGAAAAGCCCAAGTGTTCATCAATTCATGAGTGGATTAGCAAAATGTGGTATATGTATACCATGGAGTACTACTCAGCCATAAAAAATGATAAACTACCTACTGTATTATCCTGGATGGAGTTGGAACCCATTCTTCTAAGTGAAGTATCACAGAATGGAAAAACAAACACCACATGTACTCACCATTAAATTGGTAGTAATTGATCAATACTAATGTGCATATATAGGAAATACCATTCATAGCGTGTAGGGTAGGTGGGAGGGAGCAGGAGGAGATGGGTAAATCCATACCTAATGGATGTGGTGCACACTGTCTGGAGAATGGGCATGCTTGTTGGACGGTGCGAAAGCGATATGTGTGTAACCAAAGCATTTGTACCCCCTTAATACTCTGAAATTTAGAAAAAGAATAAGTGTGAATGTTATATTTAGAGAGATGTAGTAGGAATGAACATGCATGAAAATAATTAATGTCTACTCTACCCACAGTAGGAGGTGAAAATAAATTTCTGTTTTTGTCATCAAATTTGTGGTGATTTGTTATGGCAATCCTAGGAAATCACTGCAGGGAACTAGGGCTAGGTGAAGAGTCCTTATGACAACAAAAGCACGATCTATTAAAGAAAAAATTGTTAAATGAGACTTCATCAAAATTATTTTAATAAAACTTTTGCTCTGTGAAAGATTCTGTTAAAAAGATGAAAAGGCAATCTATAGATTGGAAGAAAATATTTGCAAACCACGTTTGTGACAAACGATTTCTATTTAGATTGTATAAAGAACTCTCAATACTAACAGCAAAAAAAAAATCCAATTAGAAAATGGGCAAAAAACATGAACAAAATATTCCACCAAGTAGTAGTATAAAAATGACAAATAAGCACATACAAAGATGTTCAATAACGTTAGAGAAATGCAAATTAAAACTACAATGAGATATCATTACATACCTACTAAAATGGCTAAAATAAAATATAGTGAGAAATACTATAATGGTGCATACATGTCATTATACAATTGTAAAAACCTATCTAATGTGCATACTAATCATTTAACCCTGAAGTAAACTATAGATGCTAGGGTGACTAAAATTTTTTTAAAAATGAAGAAAATTGAGAACATAACATTTTTTAAATTAAAAATTGATCACTCATATTTTGTTAATGGGAATGGAAAATAACAGAAACTCTGAAAAATGGTTTGGCACATAGCAGTAACTTTCCTAAGCTTTTATCCAAAAGAAATAAAACTATGTCCACACAAAATCTATATATAAAAACTTGAACATCTCTGGGCATACATATCTTTCTCTTTTGTGAGAGTAAATAGGATAAATTTCTAGAAATAGAATTGCAGAACCATGGTGTATGCACGTCTTTAATTTTGATAGTTATTGTAAATTGAATCCCAAAAATCTAGTATTGATTTGTACTCCTCCCAACATGGTGTGAGAGTGACTATTTCCCTATATTCTCACCAATACTTGATACTGTCAAACTTTTAAATATTTGGTATTCTAACAGATTAAAAACAGTGTTCCATTTTAATTTGTATTTCTTCTATTATATGTGACAATAAGCATGTTTTCATATGTTTATTGGTTATTTGTATTTATTTTCCCATGAACTCTATGTTTCTTTCCCTGTCCATTTTTTATTGAATAATTCTTATTAACGTCTTAAATTTTTTATTGATATGTAATATACATAATATGTGATGATTTGATATATTCATATAATGTGTAAAGATCAAATTAAAATAATTGGATATCTATCACCTTAAATACCTTTTTTTGTCCAGGCTAGAGTGAGTGCCGTGGCGTCAGCCTAGCTCACAGCAACCTCAAACTCCTGGGCTCGAGCGATCCTTCTGCCTCAGCCTCCCGAGTAGCTGGGACTACAGGCATGCGCCACCATGCCCGGCTAATTTTTTATATATATATCAGTTGGCCAATTAATTTCTTTCTATTTATAGTAGAGACGGGGTCTCGCTGTTGCTCAGGCTGGTTTTGAACTCCTGACCTCGAG